TTGCTTAAAGTGTTCGCCGAACCGAACACTGTTCGGTTCGGCAAACGGATGTGTTCGTGTAGGGGCGAACACGAACATGTTCGTGTACACACGCACACACCATGTGGCCCGGCCACCATATCAAGCCCAGACACTGTGTCCCGTGCAGTGCACACTCTATGTGCCATACCATACCACTCAACTATGGCTACCATAATCTCAATTTGGTGGTCCCTCGTTGCAGTGCATCTATGGTGCGGCTCAACTCAGTTGTACAAGCGCCTGCCTGCCGTCTACCCTCCCCTCCTCTCTCCCTGATGACACACGTTTCCTTGCCCCCATCCCTGCAGCGACCTCTCGTATCTCCGTGCCGTGGAGTTCCCCAACTGGGTCACCCACCTGTCCAACCTTCAGTCCCTGTAAGCTGCTTGCTTGCCTTGCCTATTGCGTTGCGCCTACTTGGTCGGGCCATTCATGGCACTAGGCAAGGTGGCATGGCACTAGGCAAGGTGGCATGGCACTAGGCAAGGGGGCATGGCACTAGGCAAGGGGGCATGGCACTAGGCAAGGGGGCATGGCACTAGGCAAGGTGGCATGGCACTAGGCAAGGTGGCATGGCACTAGGCAAGGGGGCATGGCACAGCCTTGATTCTTGATGCCCTCGTGTTGCGCAGTCGTCACAATATTAGAGCTCCCCATCAGTCCTCCTGCTGCTGCGCTGCTCATGAGCGTTGCTGCTCTGTTGTATCTCTCATCACCATTCCCCCCAACTGCCATGTTTGCTTCTCCTTGCCTCGCCCGCATGCAGGAACCTGAACACGGACGAGCCGCGGCGACAGGGCCTGCTGGCGGAAGACATGTCCGAGCTCACAGCACTCACGCGCCTGTGAGTGCAAAGAGTTGCAGAGGCGGCATACAGTGGGATGCAGGGGCATGCAGTGGGGTGCAGGGTCGGGCAGTGGGGTGCAGTGGCTTGCAGTGGGATGCAGGGGCGTGCATGAGCATGGTCTCCCACAGGGCCTTCCTGTGCTGGATGGGCTCTGGATTAAGGCCATTCAACCCACTGATAACATGTACCTCTGCCTCTGCCTCTGCCTCTGCCTCTGCCTGTGCTGTGCAAGTCAAAATGGTACCCGTCTCTTCAGGCATGAAAGTCCTCGTAACTCCCTTGGACCACACTGCAACCCCCTTGTAAACACAGATCACTGTTTGGCAACAATCTGGAAGGTTCCCTGCTCAAGGGCTGGTCCACTCTGGTTAACCTGGCTGACCTGTGAGACCCCGCCTGTCGTGCTGTGCCGTGCTGTGCCGTGCTGTGCCGTGCTGTGCCGTGCTGCCATGCTGCCATGCTGCAGGCATGAGCAAAGAAAACTAGCCTCAAACCAAGCTGCGGCCCCTTGTTTGCCTACCCGATTCGCGCCGAGCCATGCCGCTGTAATCATTACCATGAACCTCCTCCATCCACTCTTGATTCATTCCACTATGTACCTACCAGCCTACATGATTTAGCATTTGTTAAAAGGTGGAAAACTTGCTTACTTGCATCGCATTCTCGTAGTTTGGGGTAACTGTTAAGCTTGTGCTGAGTTGCTTTAGAAACTTTCCAAAGTTAGGGTTAATGATGGAGTGGATAAGATTTTATCAGGAGCAAGGCAACCTACCTAGTTTTCGCACTTAGGCATCATCTCTTCGGGTATCTCCCCGTCCCCAACAATATCAGACAAGTTGAAGTCAGGCGTCACTCACTCGCGAGTCAAACCACTCGACGCACTGCTCATTGAACCACCCTCTCACGCATGCCCACTTGCCTTTACATACTCCATTCCACTCCACTCTGTCACTCCTCCCATGTACACTGATTTGAAAACACACACTAAACATTGTCGTTTTCTCCGTGTTGCAGTAATCTGGGGTTCAACCATCTTCAAGGCACAATACCGGCAACGTTCTCTGCCCTCACAGCCCTCACTGCACTGTACGCCCGCGCTCCTTCCAATCAACTCCACCCAACCCGTGGCTTGCCTGACCAGCATAATGCCCCACCAGAGAATCTTGACATGACCTGATGACACCTAATCCTTGAGAGAGAGAGAGAGCTAGGTCTTGTCAATATTTTCCTGTGTAGGATCTCTCCACTCCACTGCAAGTGACGTGTGGTGTATTGTTCCCCACTGGTTCACAAGTCTTCCTATCGCTTGCATACCGGCTCTTTCTCTCCGCCTACCTTCCTGTATCTCCTGTAAGGTGCAGCCTCATCTTCTGGTGCCTGCAACTGAGCCCAGCGGTATTTTAATGTGGTTTGACTTTTGAGGCGCCTCAAACAGCGGTATCTGAATGTGGTTTGCAGTGCCCTAAGCGAGCGTGACACATGAACCCCCTCAACTCATATTTGCTGGCTCAATGGCTGCCTAGGCTCCTTCTCATTCACACCTCCTATTCGTGCCTCGCCGCGCCTCCAGCAGTCTAGTCCTGTTGTTTTCCGCCATTGAGCTGGCGGGCATGTGAGCTGAGCAGCATTGCAAGGAGAACAGCGTGAGGCCAACCAGTATGTTTCAACCCCCACACGCATCCCTCGATCCCCGAGCACACTTAATAACGGAGACACGGCAAACGCCTAGGTGTTAAGTGGATTGGCATGGTACCTGCATTCACCCACTCTTGTCTTTCCCATCCTCCTCTCCTCGCCCTGTCCCATGTTTTGTATTCTGCTTCCAATTGCCTCTCTCTCACGAGCAGAGACCTGTCGTGGAACTATCTCTTTGGTACAGTACCTCCTGTCTTCAGCTCCAATGTCAATTCCATGTGCGTATTACTCCTACTCTCTATTCCCCCCTCCCCCCACCCCCCCCCCCCCCGCCTTCCCTTCCTCCTCCTTCTCCTCTCTCTTCTCGGGCTCTGCACTGCGCTCCCACCAACTAACTCCTCCCTCCGGTGCCTCTTGCCCTCGCCTTCCTGCTTTAATCATCTTTCTGTTTCACTTCCTCTTCGTTACATCCTCCCCTCCCACTCCCCCCCCAACCCCCCCCTCCCCCCTCCCCTCCTACCCTTCAACTTACATGCACTCACCCCCTGTCTCGCTCTGCCTCTATGACTGCTGCATGCATCCTCCAGTGCGCATTCAGCTCAACGGCCATTCATTGAATGTTCCGATTCGATTCCCTACCAACCGGCCCTCAGCGCATTTGTGCATTGCTTACCTTCACCCAACCCGCACCGTACCTTGCCCTGTCCTGCACTCTGCCTCTGACCAGACTGCTTGGATACAACGCCTTTGACGGGCCCATCCCACCACACCTGGCACTGCCCAGCTTGACCCAGCTGTGCGTTCTATTCTACCTCTCTCTCACCTTGCATAGCTAGTTTCGGGGAACTTCAACTCAATTACCACGCCTCTCCTCAACTGCACTCATCCATACACTCGTCTCTGCACTCGTCTCTGCACTCGTCTCTGCACTCGTCTCTGCACCTCTTCCATGGATGGTTGGTGCCTTTGCCTGTGCTGCCGTTTTGCCACTTGTCCGACTGCCCTGGGCCTCTATCTAGGTAAGACAACAACGAGGTACGGCTATTCTGCTCACCTAATACCCGACTCCTCTCGTTTTCAGCTGTTGTGTCAAGTTGTGTGTCTTAGCCTGTGCTGTGCATGCGGTGCTGTGCTCGTCTCCTGTGCGTGCAGCCAGCTGTCCAACAATCAGTTCACAGGAGGCATCCCCAGCGCATTCACCAGCCTCACCGGCATGGCTGCTCTGTACAATCTCCTTCCCTCACAGCTCTGCACGTCCCCCTCTCCACTCCTTCACTGCATTTCCCTGCTGTCTACCCTTGCCTTGCCTTGCCTCGTTGGCACTCGCCCCTCACTCACTCACTCACGACTCACTCACGACTCACTTACGTACCCTGACTGACCCATTTCCATTGTGTCTGCCGCTGGATGGAATGTCACATTTTCCACCCAATAAGTTTTGCATAAGCGAATGCATTGGCAATGCCTTTGCATGCAGTGGATACGGTTGTGGTTGCTCGTCTTTTATGCCACTCACCCTGCCTTCCCATCCCATCATTGCCCCACACACCACCTCACCACGCAACACCACACAACCCCACCCCACACCACACCACCCCACCCCTCACCACCCCTCACCACACCACACCACACCACAGGGATGTGTCCAACAACAGCCTCAGCTCAGGCCTGGACGTGGTGGCTCAGATGACATGGCTCACAGACGTGTGAGTGCTCTCTGCTCCTTCTCTGCCTCACCCTTGGCCCGCGTGCTTCCTCCTTGCTCCCTGCTCAACCTGCTATGACTCTGTCACGTTAATCTGTGGTATTCTCTGCCCATCTCATCCGAGCCGCTCCCTGCAATATGTTGACCCCATGCATGCATGCATGAATGCAGGGTGCTCCATACAAACAACTTCTCCGGTGTGCTGCCCATGGCGTTCTCAGGGATCGAAGGCCTCTCATCCATGTGAGCCATGCTGCATCTGCCATGCATGGTCACACCAATGCACCGATGCCTGTTTGCTCACAATTGCAGCCGTCAAGAGATTCCACTGCTCGCTTTCTTACACGAATTTACTACACTAGACAGGGTGCCGTGGTGGTGCTATCCTTGTATCGTATGCTGTTCCAGAAGACCTTGCATGTTAGGGATGAGCACGAGGCGAACACGAACATGTTCGCGTTCGCTTTGGCTCTAACAGGGCCGTTCGGCGAACCGAACACTGTTCGGTTCGCGGAACGGGTTTCGCCCAAAGTGGTGTTCGAACATTTCGAACACAATGGCGAACACGAACATAATCAACAGGAACATGTTCGTGTTCGCCCCTGAGGGCTTAGCATTATAAAACACTGCCAATGCATCCCGCTGGTAGGGTTTTCAGTTTGGTATTGTTTTGCCTTACCTTTGCCGTGTTTATAATAACTTTGATGAGCATGAATAACGTGCGGCATAGAACGTGTCCATAGTCAAAGGACTACCAAAGGGTCCCTCCATAGCCCACCAACAAAATCAAAACTACATCCCTGTCCCACCCCGGCTACCAACACCACCATCCGCGCCACCTGCTACTGCGTCCGCCCCTCTCCCCTTCGCCGCCTCCTCATCCACCTCCTCCGCCGGCCCCCCCTCCACCTCCTCCTCCGCCTCCACCTCCTCCTCCTCCTCCTCCTCCTCCTCCTCCTCCTCCTCCTCCTCCTCCTCCTCCTCCTCCTCCTCCTCCTCCTCCTCCTCCTCCTCCTCCTCTTAGTTCAGAAAGACGCGTCCTGCGTCCTGGACGCATGCGTCCAGACGCATGCGTCCAGACGCAGGACGCTGACCCTTGACCTGTAAGACGCACCAAAAGACGCAAGCCCGGGCAGGGCAAAAAAAATCCCCGGGCAGGCCAAAAAAAATAGTATAGGGCTTGGGAGAGGGGGGGGGGGGGTGTCATACCACAAAATTTTCCCCCAAAATTTGAGATTAAGGTGAGTCACGTGTCACACATTTCACAGAAGGAATGCTCGAGGAAGCCATAGCGGAGTTTAGGTGGTAAGCTAAGCTAAGACCTAAAACCTCTATGGGTTTACGAAAGAGAATTGGTGAGGGGAAAATGAGAAGCCACAAAAGGTTGCCATGCTAAATGTGCTTGGTGGTGGTGGGCTACAAAGGTTGGGATTCGTAGATGCTAAGTGGTTGAGAGGTTTGAGTGAAATTCAATTTTGGTTTAGTTGTTAGGGAATGTTAGGGGGGCTGGTTTTGAATGGCGAATTCGGCTTGGGGTGGGGAAATTTCGCGATTTCGACATTCGCGTCGAAATCGCGAATGCCAAAATCGCGATCGATTTTTTTTTCGGGCTGCCCGAAAATTTTTTCTGGACGCGCGTCCTGCGTCCTAGCGTCGGGACGCTGCGTCCGGACGCAGGACGCAGCGTCCTAGCTGCGTCTTTCCGAACTAAGCTCCTCCTCCTCCTCCTCCTCCTCCTCCTCCTCCTCCTCCTCCTCCTCCTCCTCCGCACCCTCCTCCTCCTCCGCACCCTCGCCCTCAAGAGCGATCTCCAATGCTGCGACCCCTTTCGTGCGGCAGCCCTCGCCGATCCTCTGGCCAGAGTGCGATCCATACCACGATCTGAGAATCATGCAAAATCGCGCCCTCTCGGAGTTCAGGCGGTGACGCTCCTTGCGGCCGAAGGAGAACACGCGCTCGCTCGCAGCAGACGTGGCAGGGATCGCGAGATAATCCCTCGCCATCCGCTTCAGCGTCTCCATGTTCGTGGAGGTGCGCCTGTACTCTAGCGCTGACACGTCGTACCGCACCCTCTCGGACAAGTACCTGCTGACCTCATCGTCCTGCACAGGACCACCCCCCCCCCGCCGCCTGGCTCGCAGACAGACGCACTGCAAGGCGTCGGCGACTAGGGAGATAAAGGTTGTCCTCGTCATCCCCCCCCCCTCTCCCTCCTCCTCCTCTACCACCGTGGTAAGTGTAATGGGCCTAAGAGCCAGCTCCCTAGCCGCCGCCTGGTACTCGGCCACCCGCTCACGTACTAGCGCGATCACCACACCCGACGCTGGGCGCGGCCTCTCCATCGGCTCCGTCGCTGGATGCTGCGTCTCCCAGTGGGCGTCGTCGAACCACGCCGCCTTCATGGATGGATCCATGAAGGTGGCGATCCAGCCCTCGTTGCTGCCGATGTAGGCGTAGTTCTTCAGGATGTTCAGCGTCTTTTCTACTAGAGGCTTCAGCAGCGCCGAAGGCCCCTTTGCTAGTCGGGCCTCCATGGCGTCGATGAGACTGTTGTAGTACGGCACCACCATCGACAGAGTCGGGTACGCCGTCCCCTCGGCTGCCTTGAAGACCTTGTTGAAGGGGCTGAGAAAGGCCCTTAGCTCCTTCAACATCCCCCACTGCTCATCTGAAAGGCGCATCTTCTCATCTTCTCCGCCTTTGCCAAGCCTCGTCAGGGTTAGGGTGATGCGAGGCATATGAGGGAGAGGGCGGTTATCAATATGTATCGCACTTCATGCGACCAACACTCCCACACACATGCCACACACATGCCACACACAAATCCCATGTCCCGTTCCCACCCTATACCTGGGTCGAGGCCAAGAACACAGTGATCGGATTCTCCAGCTCAAGGAAGCGGTCGATCATGGCATGAGCCGAACCCCAGCAGGTAGGACTGTCCTGCACCAGCTTCAAGGCTGGTTTTTTTACACGGGTCTGCTGGTTCAAGCCGCGCTGAAGTCCCAAAAACGCCATCGAGCGTTGCGGCGAGTACCCAACCCAGGACACCATGATTCTGAGCACCTTCAACAAGGCGCGAATGGCATCCACCTTCAGTCCTGCCTGCACTGCCAGGTTAACCACATGTGACAAGCACCTGCGGATCATAGCACCGTAGGCATGTGATTTGGGAGGTAGTGACACATGGTCTTTGGTTGGCGTGGGGGATTCCAAAAACCCCAAATATACCCACACACACCCACAATGCCGTCTCTGACAAGCCACCCCATTATCACTTCCACACCCACTCATACCTGAAGTGCAGGCGGGAGTTGAAGAAAGCCCGATCACCACCCTCCTCCGACAGGCGCTTGAACGTGGCAATGTTGGCGGAGGCGTTGTCTGTGGTGATTCCCAGACAACGCCCCTCTAACCCCCACATCACCACCGTGTCCTCCACGATCTGCGCGATCTGCGTCGTTCCATGACGACCCGTCAGCTCGCGAAACTCCAGCACTGCCTCACGTTGTTGAAACGTCTCGTCGATCCAGTGACCTGTCACAACTAACCAAGCCTTCCCATTGGGTGCAGTCCAGATGTCAATGGTGTATGACACCTTGCATCCCAACTCCCCCTCATTCCCTAGCAGCTCCACCTTGGCAGCATGCAGAGCGGCCACAGCAAACGCCACAGTGTCGCGTGCCACAGCCAGCGCGAAGGCATGAAGTTGTTCTGCCCGCAGTGGTGGTTGCACAGGGTCAGAAGCTCGCGAAATTGGTGGGGTGGGTGGAAGGAGTTCACACAACAAGCATGCGTTGGGTTTCGCCTAACAGCGCAAGAATGGCATGGAAAGGAGAGGCGTAAGTGTCCCAACCCAACACCCTCCCCTCAGCATCATGCGCTCGCCGTACCCACACCACAACTATGTTCGGAAAGACGCAGCTAGGACGCTGCGTCCTGCGTCCGGACGCTAGGACGCAGGACGCACGTCGAAATTTTTTTCGGGCAGCCCGATTTTTTTTTTTTTTCGATCGCGATTTTGGCATTCGCGATTTCGACGCGAATGTCGAAATCGCGAAATTTCCCCACCCCAAGCCCAATTCGCCATTCAAAACCAGCCCCCCTTTTGTGGCTTCTCATTTTCCCCTCACCAATTCTCTTTCGTAAACCCATAGAGGTTTTAGGTCTTAGCTTAGCTCACCACCTAAACTCCGCTATGGCTTCCTCGAGCATTCCTTCTTCTTCCACCGCGTCTAAGAGTGTTGATGATGCCGTAGACTCTCCCCCCAAGCGTATGACACCCCCCCCCCCCCCCCCCCCCCCCCCCCCCCCCCCCCCCCCCCCCCCCCCCCCTCTCCCAAGCCCTATACATTTTTTTTTGGCCTGCCCGGGGGTTTTTTTTGGCCTGCCCGGGCTTGCGTCTTTTGGTGCGTCTTACAGGTCCAGGGTCAGCGTCCTGCGTCTGGACGCATGCGTCCAGGACGCAGGACGCGTCTTTCTGAACTAAGCACCACAACGGCCACACCCAGCAGCAGTAAACCCTTACCACCTCAGCCTCCACAATTTTGAAGGGAAGGTCGCAGGTCACCACCAGCTTGACGATTGCCTGACGAAGCTCCACTTCTGACAGCTTCTTTGACATGTAGCTCTTGATCCCAGCCTCGCCAGACCCCTCCGCCCCTCGCCCCTCTGCCTTCCCTCTCTTCCTTGGGATGTTAGGCCAGCTTTCTGCATGCGGCCAATAATATACGTAGCCATCCGGCACTCCGACGTAGTCCCCCCTCGGAAACGTCTCGCCCGGCAGTTGTAGTTGTGGATTGTGGTAACGGTGGTACCACACATCCATATGAGCAGTGTGGTAGCTCTCGAAGTGGCGCTCGCCTCGTGTAGGTGTAGATCCCCTCCAAGAAATTCGATCAGTGCAAATCTTGCATTGCCGCTTGTCGTCGGTCCCCTTAGGCCCAAACATATGAACTTGCCACCCTCGCTTCTTCCTCCCCTTGCCATTCCACCTGCTACTCTCGGTCTCTCCCTCCTCGTCAATGAACTCTGGAGCGACCACACCCTCGCCCAAATCCACCCCTCTGAAGGTGCAAGGATACGCTCGTGTTCGCAACTTCTCGGCTTTCTTCTTTCTGTTCCCAATTAACGACCTCTTTCGCCCAACCTTAACACCGCCACCACCACGCACCCGTCCTCTACCCATGTGCTGAGAGGCCTCTTCTGCGGCAGCCGCGGCAACCCCTCCTCATTCACCAACACCCTCCTCCACCCCCTCAGGCTCTAACCCTTCCATCTCCTCATCTTCATCTCCTCCCCCGTCCCCACCACCACCATGCGTCTCGGGTGTCCACCCCTGCTCACTATCATCACCGCTCCCCTCCTCGTCCTCCTCCTCCTCCTCCTCATTCTCCCCCTCATCGTTATCCTCCTCCTCCTCGTCCGCCTCACTGGCGGTCTGAGTGGTGGTGCGCGTCTGCCCAGCTGAGCGGGGTCGATCACCCGAGTAACGGAACGACAGACGGGTTGACGGCACGGGCATGGACAGAAGCCCACCGACGAAACAAGCACCTCCAGGGCCGTCACCTACTCTACCCTGCATAGGTCCTTGTGCAGATGATGGAGCACTGCCCTGACTACCGCGACCACCCCGCCCTGCACTAACTTGTTGGTGGGAGGCCATTTCCCTCGACGGCCGAAGAAACCTAGACTAGACCCTTGATAGACTGGTGATGCGGCGGCGAGGGGAGGGGAGTGTCACTTTGATGGAGACCTTGACGGTGGAAACCCCTTCAACGGTGGAGACCCCTTTAACGGTGGAAACCCTAATGGTATCCCTCTACTTCAACTTTGCGCTGGGAGTAGATGCTGGCTACCTTCTATTATTAAAACTTGTAAGCATCTCGCCAACACGTGAGAATTGAAACATCTTCCCCACTAGGCTAGTAGTAGTAGGTGAGGGTGTGGGCTGGGCGGCCTGGTGGCAGCGACATGGTCACGGAGCTCTAAAAAATGACCAACACAAGAATTGGCCGCAACCCTAGATTATGTCGTGGCCAATTCGTCGACGAACACCGAGGTGTTCGTCGATGTACCGCGTCGAACACGAATCGACGCCGTCGAACACCGAACATGTTCGCACGAACAACGAACACGTTCGTGCCGAACATTTTTTGGCAAAAAAAAGCCCGTTCGGTTCGTCTCGAACACGTTCGACCGAACCGAACGGGTGTTCGGATACATGCTCATCCCTATGCATTGCATGTTCCGTGTTGAAGGGGCGTAGGCTGGGCTCGTTTCGTCTTATTCAATGTCACCGTTTATGGGCCATTATCGAGTGCGGTGCATGAGAGTTTTCCAATCGTCGCCGTGTGAAGTGGACGACCTACCTATCCCGGAGGCATATGTTTATGCATGTGCATGCGCATACCTCTGCCACCATTCTAACTAAGTGTTGTCTGTGCATGCGTATCATTTGTCCACTCTTTCAACACCTTGGTTCTGCTCTGTGCCAGAAGCATTGCCAACAACCGCTTCTCTGGATCGTTCCCCGAGTCTCTGTTAAAACTGCCAAGCCTTGTTCTAATGTATGCAGCTGGAGGGCTGAGCTGAGGGTCTCGCAAGCGCTCAAATGTATGGATCCAACGTAACACAGCCAAGCAAGAATCTCCACTTTAAGGGTATAAATGTACACATGTGTCAACTCTTTTGTTGTAGCTGACAATTTCCACTGGCAATGGCGGTGGCTGGCTGGCAGGGATCTGAGCAACAACAGTTTCACGGGGTCCATTCCCAAGCGCCTTACGAAGCTTGCTCAGCTGATAGACATGTGAGTTGCGCCGTGTGTGGGAAAGGATTCGCCCCACTCAGCGATTTCTCCTGGATTTGCCCCAACGCAGAGAAAGGAAAATAGAAGAAAAAAGGTTGAGTTGTGAGGTGGGGTGATGTGTGTTTGGACCACGAAACGAAGGGATTAAGGAGGAGAAAATAAGAGTGGATCCATAAGTGGGGCAAGTAGATGAGGCTGGGATGAATCTGTGGAAGGTTGTAAATACTGTTTCCAACTTCCAGACATTCACTGTTGCAGGCTCAGCTGAGGTTATTTCTAAGTCGACTCAAAACATACCGTTTCGTGTCAAGCGAACAGACATTTCCTGGGCATAGAAGCTGAAGTTGATGTTTTTTCATAGATTACTAATTCCTTGTCTGCTTGCTGCTGCCTGGTCTCCTGTTCACGTGGCAGCAACCTGAACAACAACAAGTTCCACGGGGTTATCTCTCCGCGTCTCTTTCAGCTCTCCATGCTCGACTCACTGTATGTAACTTGCTCCTCTCCTCCCCCCTCTCCCTCTCTTTCTCCAAACACCGGGTGCTTGCTTCTGAGTGAAAACAGAAACAACTCTCCTCAAGTGCAGTGTGATCCGTCTGATTCTTTACGTAGTGAACCATCTTAGTGATTATTGCTTCCCCATGGCCCACTGGCAACATATTTCTCTTCTGTTTGCATGAAGGAACCCACCCACTTCTCACGCCAATGTTCTATATGAGCAAATACCTGAGATTCTTCACGTCTCCCCCGTTTCCTCATTTGCAAACCGGATACTAGAATCCGTACACGAAGACCACCACTCTGTCTACCTTTCATATTCTTCTCCATACGTAAAACGAATTACTCTCCAGGGCACCTTAGCTCTCCTACTGAATGCAACCCAACCTTTCATTCTCTCCCACATCCGCACCCCTCTGCGGCAGGCAAGTGGCCAACAACTTCCTCTCGGGGGGCCTTCCAGCGTCTCTGCGTGCCTCATCCTCTCTTAAAACACTGTGCGTGCTGCTGCCACATGCTGTTACTGTTTGCTCTTTTTATTGATTTCCTGTTTTTTATTTAGCTCTGCACCGTCCGATCCACTCTCTCACATGCAGTAGCCTAACCATCCCTTCTCTTCTTTCTCATGCTCTCCCCCTTGTGCGCGTGCGTGTGCTGTGCAGTAGCCTGCCAGGAAACGGGTTCACAGGTCCTTTGCCCGACTTCTCGCTCTGGAGTGTCAGCCTTGAGAACCTGTGCGTGTTTCCCTCTTTCTCGTTCTTTATCAGTCCTTCAATTAGCCATGGTACCAAGTACACAGAAAGGGGCAACACAATCAGGTGAGGCAACGTTACAGCCTACACCAGCCCTCACTCCCTCCAGCGACCCGCCCCCTTCCATTGTGCTGAGGAGGTTCTGCAGTGTAGCGGCAATCAATCACCGTGGGCGTCTTTTTGTCTTCCTCTCTGCACTCGCTGACGCATCTGCACGTGTTCACATGCATAGGGCCGCGTGGACTTACCTTGTGCATCAAGTAAAGAGCCTAGGCCATCCATCCACCTCTCTGAGTCGTTTGTTTCTTACGTGTACCTGCAATACCATCGCCCATGTGTGTGTGTGTGTGTGTGTGTGTGTGTGTGTGTGTGTGTGTGTGTGTGCGTGTGTGTGTGTTGATGCAGGGCTCTCAACCACAACAACTTCACAGGGCCCATTCCTGACTCTATCTCCACCCTCTCCAGCTTGAAGGCCATGTATGTGTGTGTGTGTGTGTGTGTGCGTGCGTGCGTGCGTGCGTGTGTGTGCGTGCCATCGCTGCTTGAATGTGTGTTCTATTTTCCTCCAAACTCACGCCAACCTACCAATTCATTTTCCACTGCCATCTCAATTCGTACATGATATGATACATACATACTGTCCCCATCCATACCAGCTCAATTCGTGCGCACTGCTGTGTGCGTTTATGATGTGCGCACATCCATACATACCATACGCACATACACACATACTGTCCCCATCCATACCCGTCTACCATCTCAGTGTACACAACTCTGCCATCGCAATTATGCCGCCGGCACCCACCATCCAATTGCTCCCTGCACCCCCACGCCACACCACACCCCACCACACCACACCGCCCTGCAGCGTACTCAACAACAACCAGCTGGCCGGGTCCATTTCATCAGCCATCTTCAGCATGACCAATCTCGTTTCCCTGTGAGCCTCTGGCTGGGCGGTCTATAGTGTCAAGCAGAGTCGAACGCGCACAGCCCAGAGCTGACCGTCTTAGTGTCCGTCTGTCGTGCCATCCCTCGTCTCGCTCACCATGTCTCCCGTGCTCACGTTGCTCGCTTTGTTCGCCCATTCACTGCTCTCCATCACACCCCCACTCACTTCAGAGCGCCTCTTGTGCCGACCAACCTCCAGTCCAGCACCTGAATCAATATCTCCTTCCCTGCCTGTCATCACCCTGCAGCTACCTCGCCAACAACCATCTGAGTGGCAGTCTGCCGTCTGCCATCAGTCGTCTGGAGAAGCTCGAGCAGCTGTGAGCGCCCTTGCTGCCCACCCGTTCATCAGTCCGCTTCTTACCATCCATTTTCACGCGCTCTCTGTCTGTTCTGCTCTCCCTGCTTCATATCATTCATAATTCTCCCCGTCCATGCGCGTGTACTGTACTGTACTATCCTGGCCCGCCTCCTGTCTATCCCATTAGCCCTGTGCATCTGGTCTGGGTGACATGATCCCAAGGCTCTCTCCTTAACTTTTCTCTGATCTCACTGCACTCCCTGATGTCCTTCCCTCTGTTCTCCCTTCTCCCTCTACTCTCCCTTTTCCCTCTGCTCTCACTGCTCCCTCTGCTCTCCCTGCTCCTTCGCCGCGCTCCCTCTCCCCTTGCCGCAGCTGGTTGGACAACAACAGCATTGAGGGTCCTGTGCCCCCTGCCATTTGCTCCCCTGCGCGGCTGTGGCGCATGTGAGTGCCTCTCACCTGCCTTCTGCTCTGGCTTCTGCGTACAACATTTTCATCACTCTTTTGAAGCGGTTCCGCTGTTGTATAAAGGTTTCAGAGTGATTCTTTTTTATGATTCTTTCTAGGTAATATGCTGACTTGGAATGCACTGTGCTGTGTACTGAGTGCTGTGTGCTGGCAGCATGATGAGCAACAACTACCTCTATGGGCCCCTGCCAGAGTGCATCTTCGACAAGTGTGTCAATCAGCTGTACGCTACTCTAACCCTCCTCTTGTCACTGCCTTCTGCTCTTCCACGTCAGCAAGTACTCAACCACACCTGCACTGCACCGTGTTATGCAAACACCTGCAATAGCAAGGGGCTTGACACGAGAGGCACATCCAGAACAGTCGAACTACAACACTTGATTGAATCGCAATCACAATTACGCACTTGAACTCACGGATCAAAAGGCAAGCCACCACCCTTTTGACTGCTCCTCTCCTCAACCCTCGTGCTCCCCTTAGCGATGTGAGCAGCAACAGCCTGTACAGGCGCACCCGTTGACCTTCCCCTCTTCCCTGTCTTCCTGTTCCCCTGGCCTCCTCCTTTCCGTACTCCGCTTAGCGATGTGAGCGGCAACAGCCTGTACGGGCGCATCAACCGCAATTTCAAGAGCATGGTGGCTGACGGGGAAGCGCTCATCAACTTGGCTCACAACTTCTTCTTTGGAGATGCCGCGCTCCTCGCTGCCGGCTGCCAGGTCTGCCCCGCTGAGATCACCCAGGCCAACAACCTCGTCCTTTCGGACCTCAGCAGTGGCAGGGGAGCAGGGAAGTGTGTCGATGGCATATCCGGCACTCGAGATTACTCGGTGGCGGGGGAAGGCAAGGCTGCGAGGGTGAGTGTGGCGGGCAACTGCCTGACGCTCAGCCCGGACGCGGAGTGCGCAGCCAACGCCACCCAGCGCAGCACGGCAGCCTGCCAGGCGTTCTGCAGCATCACGGACAACGGCCCGTGTGACAGCCATGGGGAGTGTGTGCCGCCTGCCCCCACCTCCCCCTCCAACTTCACCTGCGTCTGCCGTCCCGGCTACTCTGCCCTCGACTCGGGCAATGGCTCCACCTGCGCTGTTGTGAAAGCCGGCTCTAGTGGTAAGAGCACAACTCCTCCACTACACCCCACTCCAATACGGATCTATAGCTAGTAGCTACTCCAATCAGAGGCTTTTCTATTTATACTGCAAACATGGCTTTACATCTCCACATGTGCCATTGCTAACTGCTTGCAGCCAGACTACTTACTGTAACCCTTGCTCTCACCTCCTCCGCTCTCTCCTTCCCCCTCGTTGCTCAACCACCCCTCGGCAGTGTCCTCGCTCTCCACGGGCGCCATAGTGGGCATTGCTGTGGGCTGCTTTGCTGGCTTCGTTCTGCTGGCTGCTGTGCTCTCATGCCTGCTGTGGCCCCGTGGACCAAGTGAGACCCCCGCCTTAACGTCTATTCCTAGGCTGTGCCTATATGTGCAGACTATTACCTCACCACTCACCTTCGATTCCTGCAGCTGCAGCTCGGACTTTCACCAATCGCCTTTCTTTTCACTCTTTTGAGTACATGCAGGGAAGTGGGAGGGGCTGGACGTGTGTGAGCAGTACACGCTGCAGCAGATGGTGAAGGCCACAGACAACTGGGCCAAGGGCAACGTGCTGGGCAAGGGAGCATTTGGCATCGTGTACAAGGGGTGCTCGCCACAGGGGCAGACGTGGGCCATCAAGCGCTCCACTGTGATGACCAACGACTTTGAAATGGAGGTAAGGGGGCCCTTCACCACGTCTCACTGCCGTTACATGTCAGCAAAGCAGCCCAATTCTGCTCTCTCGCTTTCTGTGTTCCGTTCTCGCCCGTGCCCTTACCAGCTGCTGATTCCGTCGACCAGGTTAAGCGAAAGCTGATTTCTAGCCGTAGCGTGTCACTGAGGATAACACGCAGATGTGTTGTCTGGAAACGGAAAGCACTTGGCAGCTTTGTTCTGAATGCGTCACCTGCAGGTGCGGGCCATGGCGTCTCTCCACCATGTGAATCTGGTGCGGCTGCTGGGCTTCTGCCAGGATCTGAACGTGGAGACGGGCAATCAGGAGCAGATCCTGGTGTACGAGTTTGTGGCTAACGGAGACTTGCAGCACCACATTTACAGGAGCGAGAGTGAGTCGCAGTATGTGCGTCACAAGGCAGCTGAGCAACTTCCGTAGTGGTGTGCCCACTGTCCACCCAGCTGTCAAAGAGTTTTGCTCTGTGAGCAAAGACACTGTGGTGACAGCTTAGTGTCTCCTTGTTCATCTCATGCTCCTCCCTTCCAGACCCTGTCACACTCCCCCAGTGACAGTGCCTGGTGAAAGGAGCAGCGAAAAACCTCGCGTACTTGCATGGGTTCAAAGTGCCCATAATCCGCAACACCCTATGTGCACCCATTTCTGTGATTATCATCTCTTCCAGACCCTCTTTCGCTGCGGGACCGACTGCGAATCGCGCAAGGAGCAGCGGAGGGGCTGGCATACCTGCATGGGTTTGCGACGCCCATCATTCACCGCGACATCAAGCCCGCCAACATCCTCGTGACGGCCGACATGCAAGCCAAGGTGGCTGACTTTGGGCTGCTCAAGCGCATCACTCATGGGGAGGATAATCAGACCAGGGTGGCCGGCACTCCCGGCTATGTGGACCCTGAGTACAACCGCACACGCGTGGTTACCACCAAGAGCGATGTCTTCAGGTAGGGTTGGTTCTGGGGTAAAACGTGCCCTGTTTGTTAAGATAGTAGGTAGAATCAGGAGCCATAGCTAGGTAAGCCCTAGCTAGGCAAGAGAGAATGAGCAAAGGAGGGTGTTCACTAGAAAGCAGCAGGATACATATAGGAAACCCTAAGGGGTTGTACTCGCTATAGAGTACCCCACTGCAGGCTAGAGAACAATAACATTCTGACACTGTTGTCATTCGCACGATTTCAATCTGATTGTTATCTTTCGCATCAGCCGTATGCATCAAGGCTGTTTTGCTGCTTGAACTTACCCACAACTACTCTCTTGCTTGCAGCTTTGGCATTGTGCTTCTGGCACTGGTGACTGGCAGGCCCCCTCGGGTTGAAGAGACACACATACGAACATGGGTACGTAAAACAGATGGGCAATATTGTGCAGAACACTCAGGCAATATAGTGCAAATCACATTGGCAATATAGTGCAAATCACATCGGCAATATAGTGCAAATCACATCGGCAATATTGTGCAAATTGTGTGGTCTGATTCCTTCTTGCACTAGCGTTACCTTCTTGTTCTCATTCCCCCTTTCTGCTGCGTTGACTCATTCCAGGCAACCAAGATGGTGGAGGACTATCAGGTGATTGGCATGAAGGACAGCAAGCTAGACGCAACTGAGGAGGCCGTTCTTGCCATTGTAGACCTCGCTCTCGACTGCATCAAATCGCCAGGTGCTCGCAGGCCTGACATGAAGGACATTGCATACCGCCTCACAGCGCTCATTGATAAGTACTGCTCGGACAAGCAGTCAGAAGTAGAGGAAGTAACGGGTAAAGCAGTAGATGAGATTCCCTCCGACTCTTCTGCAGGGACTGGCACAATCTCACAGACTTCCACCATGAGTCTTGGATCTTTTATGAATGGCATGGGTAGCTGGCTGGAGAAGAGGCCAAGCTGATGGACTTTGCACAAACGTCAATTCACCACATGCTAGCTGCCGATCCCCAAGAATAGATGCTCCTTTAAACATGTAGTTGAGTTTTCCTCTTTTAGGGGGTTTAATTTATGTGCCATGTGTCTTCTGAGCAGGGATCCAAATTTCAAGTTTGTCTAGCTGCTAATAGGCTGCAATTGGAAGTGTGATAGTTGCAAGGCCAGGTGCATATGACCATCTGTCAATCATACATTAGATGCTGGGGTTGCCCAGTCATGTTTATAGCACCCCCGATTCACTGATATGTGGTGGTAAGGGTGTGTCCAGTGTGTACAACAGGTACCGTATGGCCCCGGATAGTAGCGCATATGAGATTACCGTACAATAAAATCGATTTTTTTAGGGGCTGACATGTAATTGAGTCTTGGGCATAAGCGCATGCGCTTACGTAATGACAAATACCGAGTTATATGTTTATAGCACCAAAGTGAGCATCTCATTCTTTCCAATCAATCGAGTCGATGTTTTATAGCGTCAGGAATGAGAATCGCGCGCAAGCGATGCTCTGCCAACACACAGGGGCAATGACATGCCCGCCCCTATGCCAACACATTCTGACTGGACGCGCAGCTTGTATTCTTTGAGAGTCAACCGAACCCAAAAGGAATGTGTGCTACTAGCTTCAAAATCGGAATAAAATAAAATATAATTATGCATACGCTTATAACAAATAATGGATTTCTAGGGGGTGCGCTTATAATCGAGTACCGGCCCTAAGCGCCATGCTCCAGGTATAAGCGCCGACGCTTTTAATAGGACGGCGCTTATCCGAGGCCATACGATATGGACCTGCCCTATTTGCTCAGCCCCCACTATCCGCCCTCCGTCCCTTGCAGAGTGTGGGAGGGCGTTTGGGTACAAGGTGGACCTCACCCATCACCTACGCACACACTCCCATTCCCACATTGCTTCCCTCCTCAATGCCCTCTGTCCCCACCCTTCCCCCGCTTCATCCCGTGCAGCTTTATGGAGTGTGAGAGGGCGTTTGGGTAGAAGGTGAACCTCATACGCCACCTGTGCACACACTACGGCCAGCCAGCGCGGCAGCAGCAACACACACGGGCAAGCCATCCCTAGCAGTTGCAAGAGCATATGCAGTTCAGCCCTGCCTGCACAATGCATACACCCCAGAGGACGGCTTAAAGTGCCTCACACGCCACCTGCGCACACAATAAGGGCAGCCAGCGTAATAGCACCAGCACACGTAGTCAAGCCCTGGCTGGGTGATTCATACGCCTCGCACCAGCGCCTCACACGTCACCTGCACACACATTACGACCAGCCTGTGTGGTAGCACACTACAATTTCATGTATTGTTATCATGCACCGAAATGGTACCATTAGTACCTTGAGGGCGGGCATACGATATGCAAGATCAAGTTGTGTGCAGAGCTGCTGATAATCACAAGGTGGGAGCGCCTTCGTGAAGATATCATCAGTGTTGTGTTGGACCATAAGGACAAGTAAACTATGCATGCCTAGCTGCACTACTGCAGCTCACGCAACAAGAAATACTAGAGTTGGATGTGATTCGCTCTGCCCTCTAGTCTAGGCTCCTTGAAACAAAGGGATCATGGCCTTCTTATCAGTTGTGAGGATCTAGGATCGAGCTCAGAAAAGAGAATATGAATTGAATGAATCACCTGGGTACAACACGAGGCTATATATAGGCTCGACACAAGGCCCCGTAACCAGGTGTTACGCGAAGGTTCCGCAGGTCGCGAAGCGTCCCGAACAGATCCTTACCAAATTCGGTAGGAAGCAATTCGGTGGCAACCGAAAAGCCAGAATTCGGTGCACGCAACCTAGCTCGGTGCTATAACTATAATAAAATATAGGAAAGCACCTAGCCTAGGAAATCAAGCAATTCATGCATGCATATAATTATCCTATGCTAGAAATAACATAATAAAGTAAAGGCAAGCAAGCATAGCTGGCATAAGCCGTCGTACTCTCACACGTCCCCCCCTCAAAGCTGGGTGGCGTGAGATACACCCTGCTTGACAAGATAGTCCTTGAGAGCACGGCGTGCGTTGCCCATATCAGCTTCTGCAACCCAACTGTCCTCAGTGGGGTCGTATCCCTTCCAGCGTATCAGGAACTCGAGGGTCTTGCCGCCACGGCGCCGATGAGAGAGAACGCGCTCAATCTCGTACTCGGGTTCATCCTGCACAAGAACAGGTGGAGGTGGCGGTAGCTGCCGTCCCTGGAACTGTTGGTTGGGGTCCTTGTAGGGCTTCAGTAGCTGGACATGGAAAGCGTTGTGAAGCTTCCATGTATCTGGTAAGCGCAAGCGGAATGTAACTGGTGTCACCTGTGCCTCCACGAGAAACGGACCACTGAAGCGAGGCCGGAGTTTGGATGGGAGGTGAGACAGGTTCAAGTTGCGTGTGTCAAGAAGCACCTGATCTCCGACTGCTACTGAGTGATCTCGTCGCTGACGATCGGCATATTGCTTCTGGGAGTTCTGCATCGTGGTGAGACGTCGCTGAGTCTTCTCCCATAGCTGCTGCATGGTGGTGACGAAGTCATGTGCGGCTTGGACATGTGCCGGTGTAGTTGGCTGCTGTGGTGTGAGTGGTTCCCGTCCGTAACACAGGAAGAAAGGAGTTTTCCCTGTGGCCGCATGTGACGCGTTGTTGTAAGCGAACTCCAGGGTCGGTAACTGTGTGTCCCAGTGGCTGACGTCGTCTTTGCAAGCTGTGCGCAGTAACTGTTCAACCACCTGATTGAGTCGCTCGGTCTGTCCGTCAGTCTGTGGGTGGTATGCTGAGGACATCGCAAGTTTAGTCCCTAATAATCCCATGAGTTCCTTCCAGAACTTACTCGTGAATTTGGGGTCTTTGTCTGAGATGAGTGTAGCGGGGATGCCGTGGATGGTGATTATGCGGTCGAAGAAGAGTCTAGCAGTTGCTTCAGCTGTGGCGGTGGCGTTGGTCGGTATGAAGTGTCCCATTTTGGAGAACTTATCGATGACTACGAGGATGGAATCATGTCCCCGTGAGGTCGAGGGAAGTCCTGTGATGAAGTCGAGACTAACGACCTGCCATGGCTGCTCCGGTACGGGTAGAGGCTGAAGTAATCCTGTTTTTTTCTGTTTGCTGCTCTTCATCCACTGGCACGTGTCGCAGGAGGTGACGAACTGCTGCACGTCTGCTGCCATCCGAGGCCAGTAGTAATACTTCGCTATTCCCGCTAACGTCTTGTTGCTCCCGAAATGTCCCGCGTATGGTACGTCGTGAAATTCCTCCAATAGGATCTGCCGTAGCGGGGCGTAATTCGGTACCCAAATCTTTCCTGAACCCTTCCTTACCGCTAGGTCTTTCTCCCACTGTAACAGCTTCTGTTTCACTGCCGTTGCTATCTCGCCGTCCACGGAGTACCCATGTTGGAATAGACCCTTGAGTAGAGGGTTCATCCCGTCGAGCTGGATGCCTGCTACATGACCTGGGCGGCTCAACGCGTCTGCTTTGTTGTGTAGCCCGGGTTTGTAGATGATGT